AGTAGCTTGGCAGAGAACAGCTTAAAATCTGAGCTAATCCATAACAGCAGGAGGAAAAGATTAGATGTCTTCTGCGATTACTGTGAAATCACAGATGACGATAAGGGAGGTTCATTTAAAGGATGCAAGAACCACGTAAAACGTTAAAGCTATGCTATCAAGTAGGTATTTGCATTAAAGCTGTAGACCCTAACTGCATTTGAGGAGGAAGAGAAGAACTGCAACGGAAACTTTTTCAAGGAAAAGTGAAACAACAGCCGTGATGAGTTACTGTCTGATGGATGGATGGACGGACGGATCGTTTAGCACGTGATGTGTCTGTTAAATGTGATTAAAGTATTTGAGACTCGAGGACAGCTAAGTATGTTCTCTGTCCAACACACATACATTTGGCCTAACAGTAAATATCTACAAACAAGTGGAATATTCGATTTAACTAATAAGAACACCCCATGATTCAAGCTTGTAGAACCAACTAAATCATATTCTGTATAACTTTTATCAGTATTTACCAGGTGACTGAGGCTTGCAAGCATTTGTTTATCCTGCCACAGCATTTAAACCAGGCTGAGGTCTGGACTTTGAGTGGGTCATTGCAACACCTTGAGTCTTTTCTTTTTCAGTCATTCTGTTGTACAGTTGCTGACGTGCTTGGGATCACTGTCCTGTTGCGGGATTTAATTTTGGCCAAGCTTTAGCTGTCAGACAAACGGCCTGTGGCTCTGTGGCTTAAAAACAAACCCAAATCATGACCCCTCCACCTCCGTGCTTAATAGTTGGTATGAGGTGTTTGTACCGATATGCTGTGTTCGGTTCTCACCAAACGTCTCTGTTCATTACGGCCAAAAACCTCTTCTTTGCTCTCCTCTGTCCAAAGGACATTGTTCTACATGTCTTGTTGTTTGTGCAGAAGCAACTTTGCAAATTGAAGCTGTGCTGCGTTGTTCTTTTTAGAACCTGGTAACCCTTCCAAACAAGTCACACTTGTTCAGTCTTTTTCTAACATTTAACATCCTAACTGAGGCTCTTGGGTCATTTTGCTATTTCTCTCAGGACTGCAAGGTTTGACCTTGACCTGAACTTGCCTGTAGATCCACTTCTGCGATTGTGGCATTGTGTTACCACACAGCTGAATACTCCAGATCTACAACCTACAAATTTCTGCTTGTATAGAGGTGCTCACACGCGCTGATAATCAGTTAATCAAATACAAGTTGATTAGTAACACCTGGCTGCTACTTGTCCCCTTGATCCCTATTGAAGTAGTAAAGGTGTACTTAGTTTTCCAGAGGATCGCACAGAGTCCTATGAAAACCTTTTTAAAATGCCTGCATATATTTTATGGTAAATGGGATTTTTAAGATGCCCTGGCATAACTGCTTGTTTTGGCATCTAGAATACAAACATATAATCTGCAGTCATTACATGCATGTGTGAAAAGTGTCAAAGAATTGAAAGTAAATGGTTTAATTGTATCCTATTCGGTTGTAAAACACGATTAACTGTGTGCAAACTTCAAAGTCTGGCCTCTAAAACATTAAGTAACTCCAGTAATGATTTCCTTATGATGTTAAAACAGCATAACCTGTAAGCACTTGCAAGCCTTGCTCCACAGAGGGTAGGCAACTCTCCCAGTAGATGTAATTTTATACACCCGTGTCTTTTTGTAAATGGTGTGCAGCGATGCAGGAAAAAGGTCAATTAAAAGAAAGCAGGATTATTGTTAATAACATCTAAACATGTTATTTAGAATACAATCCAACAGCTAACTATCAATTACATCAAGTGTATATATGATTAGCAGCAGAGGTGTACAGAGGAACACTCGACAGATATTTCTGGGGAAATAATACTTCAAGTCGAGTTCCCCTCATGTGGTGAGAACAGAAAATAACAAGAAGTCTATTTAACTGTAGCTACACTCAGCTTATAAAGATCTATGCCCACTCAGGAAATGATCAGTGTTAGTGTAATGCCTCAGGGCCATAATCACCTGTCTCTCGCAGTAGGCCTTCATGAGTTTGATGAGCGGTGTGTGTCTTTTGATCTTGAACTGCACTACAGATCCATCCTGACCCGCTACCTTCAGGTTTATGTGTTCATTGTTTTCTGTCTTCACTGATTCCTGAGGGATAGAAGCACAGATAGAAACACAGTGAAGGAAGAAAAGAAATGACTTTGACTAACCAGAACAACACAGTAGTTACAGGTTTGCAGGCGGAAAGCTCTGCACGGTATTTTCTGTTATTATTACATGCGTAATTTCAGTCCCTTTAGTGCCTCCGGTGGCCTTTTAATTTTGCAGTAGCGTGATGAAATACTGAATTCAGACTTAAACAGCTCACCAGGTGGCTAGGGGAGGATATTGGCAAGAGCTTATTAATATCCATGACATTATCAGTTGTGCTAATTCTTTATTGATTCTTGATCAATTTTCTTTGGGAGGAAAAAAGCAGGCAAATGTCAGTATCAACCCAGCCGTGTCATTATCGCCAAAACAGAGTAGGAAAAGACTGAGCAGCACAAAAGCAGCACTGCTATGAGTTTGACTTCACTTTCGCAATGTGTAACTGCCAGAAAGATATGTCAGCATCCATAAAAGGAAGGTTGATGAGCCCAAAGGTGTAAAATTCCCAGGACTTTTGCGAATTTGCATACTTTGAAATTGTTTAGATATACAGTGCTGTGCAAAAGTGTTGAACCACCACTCATTTCTTAGATTTTGTTAGGATAATGGCAAATAGTTGCAGCAATTTATTGAAACATGCAAACATACTTGAGAATACAGTATGAGCTTGAAAATTAATGTTTGATATGACCAGACTTTATTGTTCCAACACAGCCTGAACTCTCCAAGGAG